AGAAATACCAAGGGCTGAAAGAAGAGCTAGAAAAGATGTAGAAGGTGAAGGCACAAGTGGCCCCCGTGGTAATAGGAACATTGGGGGCTGTGAGCCCCAAACTGGGAGAGTGGCTCCAACAGATCCCAGGAACAACATCTGAGATCTCTGTCTAGAAGAGCGCAGTCCTAGGAACAGCTAAGATACTGTGCAGGACCCTCAAGCTCCCAGGCCTCTGGTAGAGGACCCGAGCTTGAAGGAAGGAATAAGACCACCCTGAAGTGGGGGGCAAGTGGGGAATTTATATATGTATATATTTATATATACACACACACACACACACGTATGTACAGCACAATCTGTAAATACATTACGCTGAATAATACCCCCAACACACTTCAAGCACTGGGGAAAATCACAGCACATGTACAGGTTTCTGCAGGCTGTGTCCACTTTTGTCCAGGTAACCAGCAAAATAAATGACAGCATCAAAACAAATACATGTCTAGAAATGTTCTATAAACCAGAAACTTCCGTGTCCTAGGATGGTAAATAAAGGTCTAAAATTTGCGCACAACATTCACACATGACCTGAGCTTTGGAGTTCCACTGTTACATCTAGGAAATTTTGACTTCACAAAAACATAAAAAGTATATTTTCACTTTATAATTTTATTGCTTTATCTGCTATTCATTTGAGTCAGTGGATTTTAACAAAAGCAGGAAGGGTGAAAAAAAAAAAACTGAAAGACGGCCAAAATGTCAAATCGAGTCCAGAAAAGAACTCCTGGAAGGTATGCCATTGCCCAGCATACCATTTCTACATGTTATGTGTATTCAGTAAATACCACAGCCTGCTTACTGTCTCAAAGCCAATGAATGATTTGTGATGGATTTAGTATTATGCCAAATATGAACATAGAAATAAGACAAATTGTTGAGGAGAGGTGCTGGATGATCATTACAAATCTATATGCATCAGATTCACATTCATCTGTACTACCAGAGTCTCATTATTTTCCTGAGTACTGTGACCTGAGTAAACAAAATCTGTAGCTGTTTAAGCTTTTTTCAGCCTGACAGTTAGCACTTGCTCCTATGCTGTACAGCACTCCCAACAAGCTCATTATACATTAAGAAATTTTATAGTTCAAATCACTGGAGATTGGTAGCAATGTACAGTATAAGTACTTTGGTGAGATTTTAATTGGTGGCACTTACTAGGGGCAGTGCACTGGAAAGTACCTGTGCTAGGGGAAGAGGGGTTACCGCTCACTCTACCTCAGAGACAAATTCAGAAGAACCAGTCATTGGATGTAGACTGGATAGACTTTAGGCTCTTGCAAAGTAATGATGAGATTGGTTTATCCATCCATTCATTATCAACCACTTAGCTGGGATTGGGTCACAGGAGCAACATGCTTAGGTGGGTGCTCCTGATGTCCCTCTCCGAGGAGCTACCAAGCTAAATGAGGTATATAATCCCTCCAGCATCTCCTTGGTCTAATTCAAGATCTCCTAACAGTTGTACATGCCCAGAAAACCTTCAATTGAAGGTGGCCACAAGGTGTCCTATTCAGATGCTTAGCTGGCTCCTTTCAATACAAAGGACCTATGGCTCTACTATGAGCTCCCTCATGATGTCTGATCTCTGCACCCTATCGCTAAGGCTGAATGAAGCAACTCTTCAGAGGAAACTAATTACAGCTGCTTGTATCAGAATCAGCTTTATTGACCAGGTGTGTTGGACACATGAGGAATTTGACTCTGGTACAGTGGCTCTCAATGCGTATATACATGGCCTTATGTAAGGCAGCAGTGGGCAAGTAACCAATATAAGGCTGAGAACAGAAGTAATTGTTTTTGCAATCATTCATTCAGTCTCTAGCCAAAACTCATTCTCAGCTCCCTCATCTCCAAAATGCTGACTCTGCACCAATCCACTTGTCAAACTTAAGCTCTGTTTTACCCTCACTGGTGAATAAAACCCTGAAATATAACTCTTTTGTCTGGGGCAGCAATTCACTCCCAGCCTGAAGGTAGCAGTCCACCGTTTTCTGGCAGAGAACCATGGCCTGAGACTTCCAGGCACTGATTCCATCCCAACCGCATCACACTCAGCTGCAAAACTGCCCAAATGCATACTAGAGCTCATGGTCTGATAAAGCCAACAGAAGTGATTCCAAGGTCCCCAAACCAGACATAATCCTCCCCCCGACTGCACATTGAGATCCTGAACATGAAAACCACAAAAAGGATCAGAGACAAGGGGAAACTCTGGTGGAGGCTAACAGCCACTGAGAATGTGCCTGACCTCTTGCAGAGAATAGGGTAACTCTCACTCTGTATAATTCGTAACAGCAGCCCTGGTACCCCATACGCAGCATCTCAGGGCAAATCTCCTCCACTGCCACTGAGGAGCTAGTCAACTAGTTCAGAGACCTCTAACAAAGATAAGAATGAGACTTCCTCTGAGTACTCAGACTGCCTCCTCCTTGAAGGACATGCTAGTTGGGTTGTTTCAACTGAAAGTCCTTCTCCATAGCCTTTCTGAACTCCTCCCACACCCAGGTTTCTGCATCCATGACCACTACACCGATTTTGGGAATATTGCTTTACTTGGAATGGTATTATGGAGAAACTGAGCTGCCTTGTCAGAGGTTTTGTGAACTCTGAGTGCTGTCTAATTGGTCTTTTGTGCTAGTCATGGATTGGCCATAAACACCATGTTTGAACAAAGGGGGAATTGGTAAGTACCAGAACACACTAGGCCTAAGATCGATGATAAACTTCGTGGTCATATCATCAGATCTGTGGCCATATGTTATGGACACTCGGATGAACAGAGAAACAAATCAGAAACATCTGTGCTAGATAAATCTTGTACCTTTGGCCTTGTATCACAAAGCAACATGAGTGAGTGCACACTCAGCTTTCCTATTGGACAAGCAAGTAAAACACAAATAGCATAGTTGGCAAACCTAAAAGACAAAAAGGTCACATGTACATGATGACATTAATAGTATATAAAAAATTGGATGTTACATGTAATTTTCCACTAGTGTATACTTTGTCCAACTAAATAAGGCCTCAATTAAGAAACCATTCTAATTATACTGTAATGTGTTCCAAATGAAGAATACAAATCCCATAAAAATAATAGGTAACATTAGTGCATTTTCCAATAACCCTTATCAGAAACTCCAAAAGTTTCAGGTAAAAGTACCCTCTTCTTATGTTGTGGCAGACTGCTGTCCAAAATGTGACCCAGTGGTTCAGTATAATATAGAGTAACTTACAATATTCTTTTTAGTGCTCTCTTTTTTTACAACCATAGCAGTATTGTCTCAAAATTTAAATTTGCATTCAGTGATTTTCATGACTACAAAGAGACAGAGACCTAATGACGTTACGGCTAACATTAACAAACAGTTCCTATTTATACTTACACATCCAGCAGACACAAAGCAACATTAGCATTCATTTGTAGTTGTGTTTGTGCCCAACTGACAAATATCTTGTCTCTTTAGCTGCTGTTTAATTTCTGCTTTAATATTAAAATGATTTATGCAGCACCCATAAGTGGACAAGACACAACACAAAAAAATCATATATGAATAAACAAAATTTGCAGACTGGTTTAGAATCATCCACAGGACCTTCATTGCCAAAGCTGCATCCTCACACAAACAGCAATAGGTGCTTCAACCAGTCTACACACAATGTCTTTGAGATGTTTGCTTTTACTACATAGATAATGCAAATATTCCTCAGGAGAGGCAATGGATGAAAGTTGTTCAGAAGTGTCCACCAGCTCTAGTTATGGGCTTGCCTCCGGTCATCTGTCAGGATCCATTATGTCCTCTGTATCGTGTCAATTTTACATGACAACCAGTGCATAGTGTCATTAAACTCTTTAAAAATTCCTCTGGGTTTTGTATTTCAGTGTGATCCAGAGCTTGAAGATGCCAAATTTGCAGCATTTTAAGCTTTTACTAGCCACTAGATGCCAGTTCCATAGAAAACATGTCTATTGAAGTACACAGGTTCCAGGGGTTACAACTTTGAATATCTGTGCACACAATATCCATACCCTACCAATGCCCATGTTGCCTGGGCTACTAAACGTGGTGGTGTTGCCTTAATTCACAAGTCTATTCTCACATTAACCTCCAAACTTGATATTACTTTCAACTCTTTTGAAACTCTTGTAATAAAGCCATCTCCATTGGCTATAAAATAGCTGTATCCAGGGTGGCCAATTCCACCCATTCCATCTTACAGACCACCAGGCCCTTACTAACAACCTTTAGAAGAATCAGGTGAATTCATCTCAGATCTTGTTGCTCATTCTGATGAGGTTCCAATTGGAGGGGGACCCCAGTATTCACTTGAATAAGGTTGGTGATCCTTTACGTAAAGCTTATTTATCACTCACTCAAATTTTTGGTTTTACAGTTTGTGTGAGAACCCACCCACTGCAGTGGCACCCTTAACCTAGTCCTGTTTCACAGGATCACTTTCTTATCAAATCTGAAGCAACATTAGCACCATTACTACTACTGTTTGTGCAACGGTATATAACCATTTGACATAATGGTCCATCAACTTGCTTTTGGTAAGCAGCTGCCTGCCAATGGTCCTGGCAACTTTAATTTCTGCGACTAGCTCTGATGAAAAATGTGCCAGTGACTTAAAAACTGCTCTGTCTAGTGTCCTGGCCTCAGCTGCACCTCTCACATACCTTCTACCTCCAGTGGCACTGATTTACATTGTCTGCTGCTAGAGCTGTATATTTCTCTCTTAATCAATACCAATAAACACAATCACAGATTTGCAGCCAAACTTACTCAAAAAATGTTTGGGGGGTGTTTTTCCTTTATCTGATTTGACATATACTGTATAGACTATAAATCACTCTGAGGCAAATTCATGATAATGGGCTATAAAAATTTGATTTGACTTAATGTAAATCTAATGTGGCCACTGAGTGAACAAAGCACATCGTCTCATCTTCTGTGCTTCCTAGTTGGTGATCTTCTTGCGGGGCAGGTAGGCATTTGTGATCTGGTTCATTACCACCAGGGCAGGGAAAAGTGGCAGCAGGAGGAATGCCCACCAGGCGACCCCTTTCACTATGGCCTGGAACCAGTCTGAGAACATGGCCAACACCACAGTCATTGTAGCCAGCAGGTAGACCACCAGTCCGCAAGTAGCGTGGTACAGCTTTAGTTTGGGTGGAGGGGAGGACAGACGCAGCAGCTTTGGGAAGATCACACAAATACCGCAAGCTGCTTGGAGCCCAGTGGTGGCCAGGGTGCAGATGCCCAGCCAACTATGCCAGGTGACCAGGTGGGGGAGCTCTGGCACGTTCTTGCTGGCCACTATAAAGCCCAGCCCAGTGGCTGCAGCTATCAGGACCAGAGCCTGACAGAACCAGTGGAAACGAACTTTCCCTTTGCGAGATCTGAAGCAGAAGGGAGACTGCTCAGCTGAGAAGAGGAGGATGCCTTCAGTCATACACAGGCAGTACTGCAGAGGGAGAGAAAAGAAATATATACATGAACAAAGGTGCTGACTTTATTTTTTAACAAGTAGAGGTAGCAACTGTATGTGTGAAGAAACACAAAACAATGTGTCACAATGTATGAAAATTTAAGGATGAGGTGGAGCAGAAGCATGTGCCCATTATTTTCTTACATCAGGACAACTCCGGTGTATTATAGCTCTTTTACCATAGACACTTACCAAAAGGGTAAAATGCATTGTCTGTTCTTTTTATACTGTTGCTTGTGTCACTTAAACTCCACATTTAGTTTGGTTTCACTAGTGTGAATTAATTGATAATTCCCGTTAATTATAACTGAGGTCTTCTTATCGTCATTTTCGACCATCATTGCTCTTGGTTAGGACTGTTATTAACTAAAAGTAACTAACAGTGACATTGCTGCACCAAAGTTTGACAATGCAAGAAACAAGCAGTGAGATAATCAGACAAGCTGTAAACAAACCAATGGTTTATTCAAATGATCTAAACCACTATATTTGGAGGTCAAACTGAAAGTGAGCTCACTTGAAATGTCACTGTACAGGAAAACTGTGCACACTATTGCAGGTAGATCAAAGCTGAACCAAAAGGATTCAAATACAGTCCAGTTAAAAATGTTACCAGGTTCCTTTGTTTTCTCTTCCAAATCAGTTTAACCTGAAGACATTTTAAAATAGTCTTTTCATTTTACTGCTTGGTTTTTCCATTATGTACTTCATTGCAGATCAGCAATCTTATTCTAGATATAAATGATGGCCAAGCTGATGTTGGTCGCAGCTCAGTGAGGAACTACTACCTGGGAAACTAAAGAGGGAAATTCATCTTAAATAGACTAACTTTCAAAGATACCAACAAGAATTAGCTTACTGGGATAGCTGAAGCTAGAGGGTTAGGGCCGCTGTAAAATAAAAAAGTGAGTTCCGACAATGATCTCAGAATTCAGCTTTGAATGAAAATTATCATCTTAAAGCTCAAAAATCAGGTGTACATGTTCTAGTACTTCTGTGCAGAAGCAATGCGGTTTATGCACATCTCGCAAACTCTCGTTCATCCTAACAAAATTAAGTATTATGTGATAGTTTAAAGAGTTCCTTGAGTGGTCATAATCTCCAGACAGTTGTGCGTTCATGTGAGCTAGCGTCACATCCACTGATGCCATTGTAAAAGCGGAATTTTTTGACCGCCTGCTTTTGTGGATATATTTTACCTCCTGCTGCTGCACTCTGGATGTGCAGAAAAATACATGGCCTGAGGATACTGTATGTCCGGGAATGTTCCTGTACAGGGACTCGCTGTTTTACCTGACTGGGTCTAACCTACAGACAGCCGGGCTGTGAAGCACCCTGGGGCAGTGAATGATCAGCTCATCAATGTTGGATTTCCCTGGAGCACAGTACCTGTCTTTTTTTTGAAAGCTTGAAGCCAGTGTGTCTGTGGCACGTGATGTGTTGCTGATTAACAAGCGGATTAATGACCTGTGATGTTATTGTCGGTGCTATGCTACCTGTTGGGATTCATTTCACTACTTTGGGACTGTATGTGGTCATGTGGGGGAAGACGCAGTGACCACTGGTTGGATTTACTGACCTTGGGTCTATTTGAAACGGAGTGATGTATCCACTACTTGGGTTGTATGTCAATGAGTTATTTCTGTAGAGAATTGTTGTAAGGCTGGAGAAGTTACTATGTCTGCATTATGCCAGTTAAAATATGGGCTTTCTCAATTACCCGCTTTGTTTAGAGTGTTACACATCTCTTTTCATCAGTACATATACCGTTGTTTAACTATCTATGGAGGAGAAGTTCAAATTAATTAATGCTGTTGTGGTTTGTTGTGCTTTCCACTTTCATATTCTGGCTCAAATATGTCAGGGTAGGATTTGAGGCATCGTCATTGTCAAAAATCTCTTATTTGTCAATGTTTTTGTGTATGCGTTGTCCTGGGTTCCTGACCAGTCTTGTGTTTGCCCTGTTCAAAACTCAGTTTCATGTAGCACCCCCCTCAGTGGTTGTAGTTAGGATAATGTTAGGATTCAGGTTAGGGAAAACACATCTCGATGGGGACGCAGATTTTGACAAAACACCAGCAGCAGAGGTTGTGCACATTAATGAACTATCCGCATGGTTTTAGGAACAGACTCTGGTCCAGAGGGGAGGAGTTCAAACAGATTGTGTCCAGGATGTGAGGGGTCTGCAGTGATCCTCTCCGCCCTCTTTTTGACCCGTGAGGTGTACAGGTCCTCCATGGAGGGTGGTTTCCTATAGCCAGTTATGCTTTTCAGGCTTCTCCACACAGATGAGGGGTCATTGGCTGAAACCTGAGCTTTCAGCTTCTCAAAGTAGCTCCTCTTTGCTGCTCTGATCTCCCTTGTCAGTGTGTTCCTGACCTGGCTGTACAGAGTCCTGTCCCTACTTCTGTAAGCCTCTTCTTTGGCACGACAAAGCTGCTTGAGTCTTGCTGTGAACCAGGGCCTGTTGTTGTTGTTGTATGTGCAGAAGGACTTTTTGGGCACACACACATCCTCACAGAAACTGATATAAGATGTGACAGTGTCAGTGAGTTCATCCAGGTCTGTAGCTGCTGTCTCAAATACACTCCAGTCTGTGCAGTCAAAGCAGGCCTGTAGTTCTGACTTAGCCTCCTCAGTCCAGCGCTTCACTGTTTTGACTACAGGCTTCACAGCTTTAAGTTTCTGCCTGTAGGCTGGAATAAGATGGACCATACAGTGATCTGAGAGTCCGAGGGCTGCACGGGGGACAGAGCGATATGCATCTTTTATTGCTGTGTAGTAGTGGCCCAGTATGTTTTTGTCCCTGGTGGGACAGGTAACGTGCTGTCTGTATTTGGGCAGTTCATGGGTGAGATTTGCTCTGTTAAAGTCCCCTAGAATGGTGAGTGGAGAGTTGGGATGTTCTAGCTCCACGCTAGTTATCAGTTCTGCCAGGAGCTGTAGTGCACTAGAATGGGCCTGCAGCTTTAAACAGGCACCCACCAAGATGAAGCTTGAAAATTCACAAGGAGAATAGAAGGGTTTGCAGTTGATAAAAAGTCTCTAAGTCTGTGTTAAATGTCCTCTGTAGCACTGTGACATCTGCATCAACCTTCATTTATTTAGAAGCAGATTCCACCTCCTCTCATTTTCCCGGACCCGTTACGCAATCCACTCTGTACACCTGGAAGCCCGGTACTTGTATTGCGCTGTCTGCAATCGAGACACTCAGCCAGGTCTCTGTGAAGCACAAAGCAGCAGAGCATGCAAAGTCGGAGTTAGTCCTGTTGATGAGAAGAATTTCATCTATCTTGTTGACCGGAGAATGGAGATTTGCTAGATGGATAGACGGGAGTGGAGTCCAGGTCCCTCTCTGGCGTAGCCTCACCAAGCCTCCAATCCAATCCAATGTCCATACAGCATTCTTTGTTCACAAAAATCGGAGGAAGGTAGTTCGGTGTGAGTTGTCCGATATTGAACAGTTCTTCCCTGGCAAAAGTAATCCAGGATGGGTTGCAAAAGACAGAGAAAACAAAGAAAAACAACAAACACAAGAGAGCGCGAGTAACCACGGCTGCCATCACTGTTGGCACCGGAAGGTATTTGGAGTTATGAGGGGTGCCAAGCTAATCTAGAGGTACCCAAGATTAAACATTAAATGGCTGGAAATGAGCAGAATGAGCATGTCATGGGCACTTTAAACTCAATTCTGAATTTAATCTCAGAATTCTGATTCAGAATGGATGAAGGAGGAGAGTGGCAACATCTCCACTGACTCTATAAGGACTGTTTTTTGCAACAATGATGGATCATGGGAATGTTTAATAGTTCCAAACTAAAAGCAGGACCATAGAGTTGCATTGACTTGGCTACTATCTTCTAATGTAAGAAGCTGAAATTAATAGTATTAATTATACTTGTGACATTTTATTTTAGTGGCATGTGTCAAAACATTTATGCCTGTTTTACAAACTTTTTAACTGTCTCCCTAAAATATTGGGTCACTTTAATAATTAGGTACCTAGCTAAATTACCTGAGCTAACAACTGTTCAAGTCACTAAAAGCAGTACTTTGCTGAAATCCCGCTGTTCCCTGCAGAAAACAACGGATCTGAATCGGCCATATTGAATTATTTTAAGATACATAAATCACATCAAAAGCCCTGTATGAGTAGAATTCAACCAAGGACCATGACGTCGCCCAGCATGGCGCAGCCGGGGCCCCACCCTGGAGCCAGGCCCGGGGTCGGGGCTCGAATGCGAGTGCCTGGTGGCCGGGGCTCCCCTCATGGGGCCTGGCCAGGCTTAGCCCAAACAAGCGATGTGGGGACGCTCCCGTGGGCCCACCACCTGCAGGAGGATCCATAAGGGGCCGGTGCACAGTGGATTGGGCAGCAGTCGAAGGCAGGGGCCCCGACGACCCGATCTCTAGACACGGAGACTGAAGATTCAAACAGGAAAAGTGAACTTGAGAGGCTTTGCCCTGATAACCCCTCAGATGGTAAACAATATGTTGTCCATTCATCTTCACAATATATGGCAGGAAAGAGTTTATAGCTGGCTCCTTTAAGTCCGGAATGCCATCCCGGCTGAACATATAACAACACATAGAGTACTGAAAACAAAGATAAAACATGTCCTTCAGTCCACACATCCAGTGTCTCAAAGAGGGTAAGGGGGGAGGTGATGCATTATGTCAGTGAGTGTCTTCACAAACAGCAGTAAGACGTGACTGTGTGTGGGTGTGTTCACAAGTTAGTAGTGAGTCATAAACTAGCTTCTATTGTGTATGCCTTGAATAATTTCAGTGGTAGAAAACCAGACATCAATCAAAGATTAACAGCTCAGTGGGAAGAACCGTTTGTGACAGGAGAGGCATGATGTGTGACCAGTAAGTTACCACGGCTCTGATGATGCATCATAACTGATTCATCACACTAGTCTTCCACTATCCATTTCTGAGAAACTGCTAAATCGACCCATAACATATTTAAGTGTAAACGGCTGTTGTCAGTAACATATTCTAGGTCAGTTTGTAACAGTACCTGACAGAGTGATGTGTTAGCACTTCCTCATTCCAACCCCTCCCATCTATTATTAACAGTGGAAAGAACATGGTGACACAAAGACTAGAGGCTGTGGAAGGAGTATGTTCAGAATTTACCGAAGAGTTCACATTCAACTCAACAAATAATAGCAGAATAAGTTTATAGTGTATTCTTTTATTAGTTTACGGTTCATCTTTTTATGCTGAAACAAAAGACTTGCTTTCTGATTTACTTTCTAATATATATTTAATTAGCTTCATACACAGCCTCACTGACTGTAGCTGTGTTAGACATAGAATCAGTACAGTAACAACACTGCTGCATCATTCCCAGTGACAAGCCATCTATGTAACTCAGTGACACTGATATGTCCTGATGCATCAAGCCAAGGAGCACATAAAAGCCATTAAACTCATGCCAGGTAGTGTCATAATAGTGCTTTTACATTTTATTCAAGATCTCATAAGTTTGTGATAAACTTATTTTTGATTTTGTTATGAATATGATATGACTTTCACAACTGCTAGATTATTATCTCATGATTATAATAAAGATTTTGTCATTTTGTGGCAGTGCCAGATGATCCCACTGGGTGGCCCAGGGCAAAACGCAGCTGTGGGCCCCTATTCCCCCATTCCTTTCCCATAATAGCTAATGCTATTTTGAGTACACCTAAATCTATGTAAGAATGTGCATCAAGTTCTATGTAAACAAAATATCAACAGACTTTTAAGTATTAAAATAAAGTAGCATTAAACTTAGGTAATAATGCAGATGAGGTCAGACTAGTGAAGAGGGAATTTTTCCACAGTTTGTATGTGTGTGTGTGTGTATGTGTGTGTGTGTGTGTGTGTGTGTCTAAGAGAGAGCAGTGGAGAAGTATGGACAGTAAACTTACTGCAACAGACATACCCACTGGATGCCAGGAAAACAGACCTGGAGCAAAAAGAAACACCAGTAAGCATTTTACAATCCAAAACTATCCAAGCTGATGAAAGCTGAATGTTCATTATTAATTGCAAAATTGTGGAGTGATTGCCAAATCAGTTGTACTTTCATTTCTGAACAAGTCAGAATCTCAGTAAGGCTTGCTTTGTTTCTATCCAGCTTCTATTGCCTGCATGCATTTGATTAGCAAAGTGCTCCAATTATCTGACAACAGCTGACTGCAGGATATATGAGCTGAAACTTTGTGCTCCAGCTATTTCAACTGACAGACAGAAATGAACCTGAAGACAGTTTGCTGATCCATTCATTGGTTTAACCCTCCTGTTATGTTGCGGATCAAATTGGCCCATTGTAAAGTTTAAACATCTAAAAACAATCGTTAAAAGTATTTTATTGGTATGAAACTTCTTCTGCTTGGCTTAATAGGTGTAATCAACATATAAAATGAAAATGGTTCATTTCACAAATTTGCAGCCTCCTCCCCCTGCATGTTTATATTACAAAGATACTATTCGGGTCAATTTGAACAGAAGAGGTGTCTCATGTTAATTTATCAATTTTACTAATATCATTTATCACTTGATAAAAAGAAGAGATTTCAAAATGTAAAATAAAACTTAAAAAAAATCAATGTGAAATGTAAAAATGTATTTTATATGTAGGTCTTTCCAATGTACATAAAAAAAAGTTTTAACATGCATTTTTTATGAAAAACGAGTGCATTATCCTTATTGAACCATAATCTGTGAGAGGTAAAGAACACCATTGCACTAAATAGTGATTGAAATGGTTAGTAATGGTAAAATTAACCCAGGAACATCACTGCTGTTCCTGAGAAAGGAACATAACAGGTGGGTTAAGCTCCACTACCAATCATTGGTCCCAGCTTCTCAAATGCCAGCACTTCAGAAGAATTTAATCACAATGCAAATTTGACAGTTGACATTTAAGAGATGAAACTACTATTTTATTTGTAAAAATCCGTAATAGTCAAATGGAAATAATCATTGTTTGGTTAAAGGGCCATTAGACTACACATTTAAGAAATATCCTATTAAGTGTTAATGCCAGAAATATTGATGGACTTAGGAGGACGATATAATAAATTGCATTATTTTCAGTGAGACAGTAACTTTGCACAATAAGCTGCCAGTCCAAACACCCATATATGAACTCACTGGTTCCAGGTCTGGACAGTAGGGAGATGGTGAGGGTCAGGCCCAGGCCGGTGACATGAGCAGCTATCACCGCCGCCCTCCGCAGCCACACGTAGAGCCAGAAGTCCCGCATCCCCAGCCCCAGCCCCTCTCCCACCGGGCTGTACTCTACATCAGACCGCATACCGCTGACGCACCTGCCCGGCTACCTGCCGGCTCCAGTGAGTGTAAAAGGTACACTAGAACGGAAACATGGGGCGCGAATGCTGCCGAGACACTGCACGAGCTCCATAATCATAAGGCATAGCTAATTAAGAGGAAGACACACGGGATGGAAGATCCGGCCGAGAAATATGACCTTAGTCAAACTACACACAGACACATAACATTAGTACTTCCGGTATCTCCTTGAGCCCTCTATTTTGCGCAGACCACCTTAACGTGTCGATGTTGTCCATTGATTTTGAGTACGGTTTAGGAGAGCCGTTTTACAAGAAGAATCGATTCACTTGCAGCTATAGTCAAGTTATCACCAATGTGATGAGACAATTAATCGACGATGTAGCCAGTCCCTGCAAGTGACCGGTGAATCAGACGCACAGACGCCTCCGGGGTGAGAGCTGTGCGTGCTCCAACGCTACCGACAGACACGTTCCTATTGTCCACAGGTTAACGATAGTATTTGAACATCTTCTGAAATAAAATTCCCAGCTCTCTGACAGGGGCTCGGCCAGACATCACAAATGGTATTGAATAATGAAATTAAAAACTTCAAACTTTCTCTGTTGGCCCGTGTTACGGTTTCACTTCCTGGTTTTGTTTATCGACACCGAAAAGTATGAGGCAAGTGATAAGCTCCACATCATTTCCTACTTCTAATGTAGTCCGAGCTAGCAGCAGCGCAGCCCGCAGAAAACGGCAGGTGGGCGCCTGCATACAGTGAGGGGATACAAGTACTTTGTTCCATTTCAGAAACTCGTTATCAATTTACAGAGGAAAGTCGAAAATGAGATTGGAAAAAAAAACTGATAGCTGACCAAATTAGCCAGAGCGGAATCTGAGGGAGACCCGAATTTAGGTGAGCACAGCCTACACTTTCCCCACCTGTAGGCTAGAGTATTTTAAGCCTGTTCCAATACCATCCTAAAGATCTTCCCCGTCACTTTTTCTACCCTCTTCAATACATTAGTCTTTCTTTATTACTTTTACAAAGGATATTTTTGTCGGCATCAGCAATAACATCCCCATAAGATCTACTGCAGACCAAAGTCTGATGCAACTAAGATAAAATTCAAGCTGAAATGCTGCTGAGTCAGTAGGGTGTGAACATATTTTTATCTTTAAATTTACCGAACTAGATCCTGAAGAAAACCGCCATTAGTGAAATATTGTACCTCTTGAATAACTTTCAAACTAATAATGATATCAATGCAATTTCAAATGCTCGGGGAGATTTTCGTTGTTAAGGAACCATATTATGAGGGCCACATAAGAATATAGCTTTTAGATGGAATGGCATGACGCAGAGTGCCGTCTGGTTTTAGCTGTATGAATACAGGCTGGACAGTTCTGTATTGTTCATCTGTTTAGGTACTATCATTTGTCCTTCATCAGTCAATTTTAAGAACAAAAGAAACAAAACTCTTTGCTCGCCCCTAATATAAAAAAAAAATACACAATGCACTTTGACCCTTTACAAACAGGGAACAAATCCCTCTTTATCCACAGTGTAACCAAATTTTAGTCAAAAAAAATAAAAAAAATAATAATCAATGGCTTTATTTGCGTTCACACTTGTAGCTGGACTTCTCAAACTCCAAGTGGACATTTATTTTACCAGAAATACAACTGTTTCCAAAAATACCAAATCAGACTGAATTTTTGGAAGTTTTAAATTAAATTAAGCAACAGTTATGTAACTTACTCTGAGCATCACATAGCTTGAAGTGCTGAAAAAGCAAATAAAGAACCTTAACTGGATTGTCATATATGTTGTAGGTAGAACAGATGTTCAAGAGACAAGTGATTGCAAAAATATAGCCTTAAAAATGAGTCACAGAAACCAAGTGTAAAGGAAATTTTTAATCCATTTTTATAAACCAACATATTTAATTTAGCAGCATAACCAATGGTCTTGAGGTATTTCTAAATCCATACTCTGAATTTCATCCCACCCTCCCATTCCCAGTTCTCCCTCAGACATTCATCCAGACAACAGCAAACACACAGACCCACACAGCCAGCTGAAATTCACACCAACAGATCCATACTGCACATAAAACACAATCTGACACACCCATACTTGAGCGTTTGCTCAACAGACAGACGCAGACACACATTTGAGTCCCGTTGACTCAGTCTTGGACTGAGCAGAGCTGGCTCCCTCAGAGTGGCTTGTAAGGCAGGCACACTTAATGGTGCAGTTTTGGCTGGGGGACAAAAGAAACATTTGAAATTACTACTTTCATTTTGCCACCTTATTTGTATATTCACTTCCAAACTGTACAAAACAGGACAGAACAAACTGATACACAGGGTGTCAGAAAGGTCAGAAGCAGAAGAAGAGATAAAAGAAGAATATTTAGACATCTAGATCAGACACTTCCTTCACACTGACTTTTAAACAACACTTTTTCACAGCACGGTAACAAAATCAGAGTGCACTGTGCTCTGGGTAGCTTTAAATTTGAAATACAGAGCTAATAAAGCCTTAATGTCAAGCTCCCAGAGTGTGTCTGTCTTGTGGAAGAAAAGGTACAAGGTCTTTATATATATAAAAAAATCAGAAGATACACACACACACACAAAAAGTGGTTTTATGTGTAACACCTGTAGTTTTGAACTCTGGCTCTGAAAACTGTGTAGCTTGCTCCTTTGCAGAGATCAGCAGCTGTAGTCAGCCTGGACTCACTGCAGTGCTGCATCAAGTAAGTATGAAAAGTGAGTAAAAATTATGGATTCTGTTCCTCCGCTCAGGAGGAAAAGAATTAGGAATCTCTCTGATCCTTGGCTGAATGACGTTACGCGGGCCTATCGGAGACGGTGCAGACAGGCAGAGCGGAAATGGTGGAAGGATGGTCTGCAAGTCCCCTTAGACGTCCTAAGAGCCTGTCGTCAGGACTATCAGAGAGCTGTCAGCGATGCTAAGTCTCAGTATTTAGCCCAAATTATCTCGGAGAATAGTCATCAGCCGAGAGTTCTTTTTAAGACTATTAATTCGGTTATCAATCCCTCTACTGCTGTGTTTCCTGAAGCTTCGAATGCTTTGTGTGACGATTTTTTATTGTATTTTAGTGAAAAAGTCCGGGCCATCAGAGTGAGTCCTCTACATCTTCCACCTTATGCCCCAGCTGTGTCCCACCCTGGTGATACCTTCACCTCATTTGCTCAGGTGTCCCTCTCACAACTTAAAAAATGTGTGCTTCAGCTCAAACCCGCTGCTTCTCCGCTTGATCCCCTTCCGGGGAAGATTTTTAAAGAAGTTATTGATATAATTGGCCCTGGGCTGGTCAACTTTGTTAACTCATGCTTGAGTTCTGGCTCGGTCCCTTCGACCCTTAAGCATGCGGTTGTTAGACCATTACTTAAAAAGCCCAACCTTGACGCTATGGTATTAAAAAAATTTCGGCCAATATCCCTACTCCCTTTCCTTGCTAAAGTTATGGAGAAGTTGGTGCTTACTCAGCTGCAAACTCACTTAAAATCTTTAGATTTGGGTGATAAATTTCAGTCTGGGTTCAGGGCCCGACACAGCACTGAGTCTGCTTTACTCAAGGTACATAATGATGTTGCATTAGCCCTAGATGTGGGATGCCCAGTCATTTTAGCTTTGCTGGACCTATCTGCGGCTTTTGACACAGTGGACCACTCGATTTTACTTTTAAAACTTCAGTACTTTTTCGGTCTGGGAGGGGAGGTGCTAAGGTGGTTTGAGTCCTATTTTACCGATAGAACCTATTCGGTTATGATTGGTGACCATTCTTCCGGCACAGCTTCCCTGACTTCTGGCGTCCCGCAAGGCTCCATTCTGGCCCCTTTGTTATTTTCCTTGTATCTCTTACCACTTGCCGCCATTATATCTAGTCACAATGTTCCCTTTCATTTTTATGCTGATGATATCCAAATCTATATGCCGCTGGTTCAACCGGAGTCAGGTTCGTTTGGTGCACTACAAAACTGTCTGCACGATGTTAAAACTTGGCTAACTCAGAATTTCCTTTACTTAAATGAAGGCAAATCTGAATTTATTGTTATCAGCCCCCATTCGGATGGAAGTGTAGTTGATCTTGGCACATATGCCCCCTCGCTCTCTAATGCGGTAAAAAATCTGGGGGTAATTTTTGATGTCAATTTTAACTTTGATAAGCAGATCAAGTCAGTGGTAAAAACCAGCTTCTACCAGCTAAGATTGTTAGCAAAGGTAAAGCCATTTCTCTCTCATAGTGACTTAGAGAAAGCCATTAATGCGTTTGTGACCTCCCAGCTTGATTATTGTAATGCCCTGTACTCCGGTTTATCCCAGTCATCACTCTCCAGGCTCCAACTTGTTCAGAACGCGGCTGCCCGTCTGCTAACAAACACTCGTCGGCATGCCCACATCACTCCAGTTCTGCTTTCTCTTCATTGGCTGCCCGTTAAATGGAGAGTAGATTTTAAGGTTTTGCTTTATGTTTTTAAAGCCATGCATGGCCTTGCCCCTCAGCACCTGTCCGATCTCTTGGCTAGATATGTCCCTCGCAGAACCCTACGATCATCGGGTCATAATGCTCTTAACGTTCCCCCTGCACACTACAAAAAATGGGGAGGCCGCGCCTTTGCCGTGCATGGCCCTAGGCTGTGGAACTCCCTGCCTTTAGATATACGCTCGATAACTGAGCCGGCAGCGTTTAAGTCAGCGTTAAAAACGCATCTTTGTAAACAAGCTTTTAATGTTTAGCGTGTCCACTGTTTTTGCCAGCTTTAATAATTTACTTTTTAACTAGTTTTAATATGTTACTGTGTGTATTGGTCCACTAGACCGCCATGGGTGAGCCCCCAGTGAGAGAGCCGGCCGGGTAGTAGTTGGCCTATATCAGTCTTTGGATATCTATTTGGCTTCTTGTCTGTCTATGAGCGTTTTGAACTGATATTGTATTGCTATGTTTCTATTGTTGTAGCACTTTGTGCTCCTGAGCTGGAAAGTGCGGTACAAATAAAGTTGATTATTATCAATTATTATTATTATTATTATTATTGTTAAATCTCCAAAAAGTAACTGAGTGACAGTCAAAACACTGCTTCTGTGGTGTACTCCTTTAATTTGAAATATTATTTAGAAAATAAAGATGTGTCATAGATACAAAATGCTGTTAGCTGGTTGTGACGCCTCAACCTCAAGGAGAAAGCTGCAAATTGTAACTTTATCTAGCAAATAATTTTCCTGTCACCCTGTGTACTGCTCATTTCCCCTCTTCCAAACTCACCTTCTGTGTGCCCAGTTTCTTCTCCACACCCCCAGCCAGCCCCCCACCTTTGCTGTCCTTCCAAGGGTAGAAGTTAGAGCGAGGAGAGGAGGAGGTGGCAGAACTGGAGGAGGACGAGGGCAGGCGGTGCACTGAGGGTTTGGAGGAGGGCGAGTGTTCCTCCATGCCTCCCCCCTTGTGTTTCTTCACCAGCCCCTGGTGCTCGAAGCCCCTTCCGCTGCCCTGCTCGTGCAGTCCTGAGTCCCCCATGCCAGCCCTGCTATGGGAGTTGTTGGTGGCAGAGGAGAGATCTGGGGGTGATGAATGCCCCAGAGAAGGGTGTGTCCGTCGGTAGGTCCAGACCGCCTTGGCAGCTGGTGAGTGGGACTCTGAGGGGGAGGGCTGAGGGCGGGGTTTGGTGCTGGGGGAAAGCGTGCCGTTGGTCTGTCCGTGTGAGACAGGTGAGGGAATAGGGGTTTTAGAAGAGGAAGGTGAAGAGGATGAAGAGGTGCCGGAGGGTGGGCGGCCCCGGTCCTGAAGTATAATGCAGTTCCTGTCGGGGCCTGAGTGCTCCCCTTCCTGGGATGGGGCTTTGCGTTTACGGAGGGCAGCGGCAGCAGCAGCTTCCTCTCGCAGCTTTAGCATCTGCTTGCTCGGACGCCCCACTGGGTTCTTGGGCCGCCCAGTGCCCACCTGACGCACTACCACAGGCTTACCCAGTGACACCAGATGACCACCACTGGCGTTCTCTGACTGTATGGTTGGTAGGGGTCTCCCTGGACCTCGACTAGAAGAGGAGGAGGATGCAACTTTGAGGGAGGAGCTGATATGACTTCCTGTGCGGACCTTAGAATGTAATGAAGAGGAGGGTGTGGTGGCTATGGAGGAAGGAGATATAGAAGTGGTGGTCTTGGCTAAGAGAGGTGGAAACTGAAGGTCTGTGGCTTGAGGTATTTTCCTGGATTGAGAGGAAATAAATCAATATGTCAGTATTCCAATATATAAAACTAAGTCCTCTAACCCAGCCTTTCCCAAACTTAAAGTCGTGGACCTGATTTTATTGGGTTGCCAGTTGGCAGAGTAAAATGCATAACAATGCTATGAAATGTGAATTCATTTTCCAAATCAAAACAGAAGAAGGGCGCTCTTTTTTTGTACACCAACAGCAGGTTTGTTAAGTTCAGATGCTGTGTGCAAGATGCGCTCTCTCCCATTTTCTTCTCAAACTAATTTCAGCAGGCCCCAACTGGCCATCAAACTTCAATGGCCCGTTGGCTTTCTCCCAAAACTCTTAAACATAATCTTTCACAGCTTATAAAGATTATTCAACAGCTGCCACAACACTACTGGCACAAGCCTTAACAGCCATGACAGCTCTTGCGAGGACTCCTGCAAAGGAGATCTGGTAGCAAATGAAACAGAGAGATGGAAAACCTTCGACCAGCGGTATAGAAAAGGAGCAACAGAAAAAGAAAACAAATTTGACTGACACCAAGTGTGTAAAAATAACTAATGGAACTAACATAATACACCATGCATGTAGCTGCATATGTTACCGTTGTTCTGTCCATTTTGAATGTAATGCATATATTTATTATTTGATGCTATTGTCAGACAGTCCCAATGATGTTTGTTTCATACAAGTTTGTTATAAGGTAGTGAGAAATTTAACATTACACTCAGCAGCTTCATTATTGCTATTATGTACTTTTACAATGAAATAAATACATTTCATGTAGGCTACATTTTAAATTTAGGGTTTGTTGTATGTAGTTTACAATTGCACTTGTGATGGATTTTTTTAAGTTTGGGTCCCAGAGAGAAACCAAATTTCTCTTTTGGTCTCAAGCTGAAAATGTTTGGGAACCACTGCTCTGACCCTTCATTTAAAAATGCACCTTATGCATTATAAACGGATAGCTGTTGTCTCTACTGTGCGGTAGACAGGGGTATGCTATGTTAATTTTGGCAGTGCTCTTTGATTTATAAAAAATAAAGACCAAGTTCAAAACAGGACTGCACTGTTCATTCTATATGTCTGATAATTCTGCATATAAATGTAGTCATTATCAGCTGATGTTTAGGGAAATTGTCCCCATCTTCCCGCCAATTTCACACTTTTCACTGCAGCTATTCTTAGTAGAACACACCATCTGCCTCATCTCAGAGCTCTCAAATTACACTCAAATTTATCTGCTAGTGTTACCAATACGCAGGATATGACCACAGATCATCATTCGCCACTAAGCACTGAAAAACATCACTGGTGAATGTCAAATTTCAAATGTGTGATCATGGTGGTAGGGCATATCTCAAATGATCTCAATCAATCAGCATTAGTGGACTGAACATTTTTTAGATACATTACCCATCTGGTACCAAAAGCTCATTTTTATCACTGATTAGAACCAGTTCAACATGGTGGGCAGAAGGCAGAGCAATTATGCCCTCAGTGCCCCTAGGTAAACTTAAAATAAATAATTTTGTATTTAAAATGCAGTTGCTTCAGAAAGTATTCAGACTACTTCACTCACTGCACACTTTGTGTGGAAGATTCATTTTAAAACTCACTGCACACTTTGTGTGGAAGATTCATTTTAAACATGTAAAATTACAATTCTGACCATCAGTCTAAACTCAATAACCCATAAATGTGTCATGTGAAGTGAAAATGTTTTCATGAATTTTTTTAAAAACAAAAACTGAAATTTCTCATTAACAGAAGTATTTAGGTCCTTAATTCAGTGCTTTGTAGAAGCCTTTGGACAGCAGTTACAACTTCAGGTCTTATTGGGTAAGTCTCTCTTAGCTAAGTGTCTGAACTGCCATCTTCTTGTCTCTCCACAGAAGTTCTCTGGGGTTTAGATCTTGACTTTGGCTGGTCCTCTCAGGCACATGTCACAGGAAAACAGTGGTTCATTGTTTTTAAAGACAAAACCATACTTGCAAGAAATATTCAATTTTTAAAAATGTTATGACTATTTTAATATTCAAAAATCCTTAGTCTGAATACTTTGTGAAGTCACTGTAATAACAATAAGGATAATCACCTTTATTTGGCCAAGCATGTTACACACACAAGAAATTTGTTTCTGGTCACCCTAATTTTAATGAAAAAAAAAATAAAAAAAAAAAAAAAAAAAAAAAAAAAAAAAAAAAGCACTCTTTAGGTGTCACTAGTAACACTTAGTACTGTATGGTGCCGCGAACAAAACCTACTGGAAACATCAAGCCTTATTTTCAGTCACCCACAACAGAAAACAGAATAAAGAGGCATTTTAGAAAGCAATACAGTAAATTGCATAGCTGTTGCTACATAAATTCCAATAACTACAATTATCACTTTGCAGTTGTATGCCTCCTCCAACCAGTCCAATTCACATGAATAGTACAGATGTGAGACAACAATGACCTTGACCACAAAAATATGACCCTTTCATCCTTGAGCTCAATTGGACGTTTTTGCCAAATTTGAAGAAATTCCCCCAAGGCATTTCTGAGATATTGATGAGAATGGGCCAAATGACCGGACAACCCAAAAACCTAATACCTCTGGCCACAGTTATCACCAGCTCGGAGGCATAAAAAGTAACCGAGTTGTTTGTTTCCTTATAAAAACAGGTCAAGAATTCACACCCACAAAAGCAGACCAAGGCCAAAAGGGCCAAGCAGGAAGGTGATCTCAGGTTTCTTACTTCCAAAGATGGGCACTAATGTGCTGTTCCAGCATGCTGCAAAGAGCCGACCTCAGGTGATGAAGTCGTCTGTCAAACGTGTAGATGCCGTGACCCAATGCATGGCTGCCAAATGAACACACCTAGAGAAAGAAGATGTTGTAAATCTGTTACAGATAAGTATCGTCTATGGCTATCTGTAACAATTATTATCCAAGGCAGCTCTAAACAGTCTCATAGTTACAGTATAATCACATTTCACTGGTGTATTGGTTTTGTGTTGTGATGTACTTCTGGGTAAAACAGAGACAAATCTTTGTTAACCTCTGGAGGGAACAAGTTGAAAATAAAAACGTTCTGCCAATTGTAATGTTCTCTCCACTTCCTTACATTAAAGGTCCAGTGTGTGATATTTAGTGGCATCTAGCGGTGAGGTTTCAAATTGCAACCTTCAGCAAAGACATACATAGTGTTCAACAGCTCTCATAGCAGTTTAACAGCCATTACCGTAAATGTGGGACAAATTGCGCTGCCGGAAAACAAGTACGGCCAACTTGACCAAGCAAAAGCTAACAGCAGCTCACTTGACTGCAGTGTAATTTAAGAAGGATGAATAAACACACATTAAGATGTGTGTGTATACCATTTTATTATTTAGGTCTATTAGTAAACACTCAACCAGACTTTAAGCATCCATTTTGGCTGCTCCAAACATCCTTACCGTAACTGCATAAAAAGCACAACAAAAGTCCAATGGTAACTGGCTTGACCGGGTTGATGGCTCACTTGACTGCAGTTAACATTAGCCCGTTTCCTTCTTTGACAAGGAGGATTCTTCCTTTTTCTTGTGTTAAAGTACAGCTATGATCTTCCATTTAACAAATTGTAGTTCTTAAATTCACGGCAGCACTTCCTCATTTCTAACGTTACCTCTTTTCATATTCCTAAGTTCTCCACTGCTATTTCAATGTGAAATTCACCCTCTAGAGCCAGTGTGTGGTTTGTCCATTTTGGGCTACTGTAAAAACACAGCAGCCTCCACGGTAAGGGACCCGCTCCTACGTAGCTATAAAAGGCTCACTCTAAGCGAAAGAAAACACAAACTGCTCACCGCTAATGGTCTGGGATGTGCAGTAGAAAATGGGAACTCAAGGGGCTCCTCTGGCCCTTCTGTCTCACTTTCGTCACTAGAGATTCGTCCATAAACAAGAGGTGAGGGGGCTCGGAGACATCCGTCATCCTGCTGCCGTTTCTCTTCCTCTGGAGTGCATTCTGACACAGCTGCAGACCGACTGTAAAAAACAAATTCAACTGTTGGTTTCAGCTGTCCAATAGTATATTCATGGCATCTCATAACATGAGATGGCTGAAGTCCCCACAGTAACAGTGCTTGCCCATATAAAGTACATTAACTCCATATCAAGCAGTTATCCCCTATGTGTCTGTAATTTTAGTAAAACTTTATCCCTTTTATTTCATATCACCTGTCAATATGTGCATACTGCTCTGAAAAAGCACTTAATTTGATGTTCAATTATTAACCTGTGGATCCGTGGTGGCTAGTGTCATAAAGAGTAACCTTACTGCAGACTGCAGAATGCACGGTGGGGAAGTCTGGATATGTGAAGACATGGTCATCTGTTCCACTAACTACAGTCATGGCCAAAAATATTGGTGCCCCTGCACTTCTGTCAGATATCGCACCACTTCTTGCAGAAAACTGCTGAAATCACAAATTCTTTGGTATTCTCATGTTTATTTTTTGTTTGCGCTAGAACAACACAAAAAGCAGAGAAAAGGCCAAATCTGATCCATTCCACACAGAACTCCAAATATGGACTGGACAGAATTATTGACACCTTTTCAAGATAATCAGAAATTGTTGCATGTCAAGCGAATTATGCTCCTTTAATTTGTAATGAAAGTCACCTGTAGCAACCAACAGGTGCTGGCAATATGGAACCAGAAATCACACTTTCAACCAGTTAAAATGGAGAAAGGTTGACTCAACCTTTGTGTGGTGTCGACCACACTGAGCATGGAGAAAAGAAAGAAGAGTAAAGAACTGTCTGAGGATTTGAGAACCACAGTAATGGAAAAGCCTGGACATTTTCAAGGCTACAAGGCAACAGTATCAACTCACACTATCCATCACCATCTGAATGACAAGGGACACAATGGTAGGAGACTCAGGGGGCCCCACTGCTGACACAGAGACATAAAAAAGCCAGACTAGAGGCTGCCAAAACATACCTGAAAAAGCCACAGTCCTTCTGGGAGAATGTCCTGTGGACAGATGAGACTAACATAGAGCTTTTTGGTCGAGCACATCATTCTACTGTTTTCAGAAAAGAAAATGAGACCTTCAAAGAAAAGAACACAGTCCCTACAGTCAAACACGGTGGAGGTTCACTGATGTGTTGGGGTTGCTTTGCTGCTTCCGGCGCTGGATGTCTTGACTGTGTGTATGGCATTATGAAACCTGAAGACTACCAATGAATTCTAGGGAGAGATGTAGGGCCCAGTGTCAGAAAGTTGGGTCTCTGTCAGAGGTCATGGATCTTACAGCAGGACAATGACCCAAAGCAGACTTCAGAAAGCACCAGAAACAGTTTCAGGCAATGTGCTGGAGAGTTCTGAAGTGGTCATCAGTGAGTCCAGATCTAAATCCTGTAGAGCACCTGTGGAGAGATCTCAAACAGCAGCTGGAAAAAGGAACCCTTCAAATCTGAGAGACCTGGAGCAGCTGGCAAAAGAAAAGTGGTCCAAAATTCCAGTAGCGAGGTGGAAGAAACTCAGTGATGGTTACAGGAAGTGACTGATCTCAGTTATTTTGTCCAAAGGGTGTGCTACCAAATATTAAGTTGAGGGTGTCAATAATTCTGTCCAGTCCATATTTGGAGTTCTCTGTGGAATGTATCAAATTTGGCTTTTTTTCTTCAGCTTTCTTGTGTTGTTCCAATGCAAACAAACAACAACAATAACAAAAAAAACAAAAACAAAACAAAAAACACGAGAATACCAAAGAATTTGTGATTGCTACAATTTTCTGGAAGACGTGGTGTGTATTCTGACAGGAATGCAGGGGTGTCAATATCTTTGGCCATGACTATATATAGGAATACCTGCGGTGCTTGCACTCGCTTTTTTCAGCCGAGGTACATGATGCTCACAGATTATGGGCTCGGCTGCAATAATTAATTTTATTAATAGCCTACTATGAAAAATCACGTTTAACCATCTGCGACACATGGATGATATAACTTACTTAGCCAACTTAAATGACCAGTGAACAAGCAAGCTAGCTTGCATAAAGATAAAGTATATATAGCTGGGCAGAGTGTGGCAGAGCATGGCAGATTGTAGTAGAGCAAAGTGGAGCAGGGAGAGGAAGAGCTGGGCAGAGCAGAGCGGATTGATTTGAAGTTTCATGTTAGTGCTACCTTAAGTTACATACAGAGAACATTAAGGTATGTCACGAAGTGTTGAATGTTAGGATGGGGGTGTCATTTTGGGAGGAAGGGCTGTATTTACTTGCATATATTCTTGTTTTGTTTCACTAAAAAGTTGCTTAAATTATTTAGATTTCACTTTACCGACTAGTAATTCAGAATGGAACCTTAGCTAATTGTAACTAACTCATAGCAGAACTGGAGACTCTGCTGACCAGCGCAATGAGCTAAAAAAATGACTCTGCACCCTGATTTCGGCTCTCGGTTTAGGAGCTAACGCTAGCTAGCAGCTGTGCGCAGATAACACAACCACTGCAGATGAATCCATTTCTGTCCTGTCTGTGCACTAAAGTGGATGTTTGGACATAGCTAAGCATTCGCTACTGTATATAAATGTATGAGATAGTATTTATTTGTTTAAATTAACTTAGACGTATGTAGTGTATATATACACACATCTATGATCAATAATGAGCATGATGCTCCCAAAATAGCGCATTTACCCAAAATTCAACAGGGCGTGACCGCAATTTCAGTCTCTATAGTAGCTTTGAGTTAAATAAAATCACAGTCTCAACTATCCACTTCCCCTGAGTTCAGTAACCTTTTTAAAAGGAGTCCATAGTACTGTCTTTACTTGAGCAACCAGCCAATTGGCATGAGAAGGGGGAGAGAGGGGGATAAAACCATGGTCAAGAGTGTCAAGCCCCTTTTACAATACCCATTCAATGTGGGAATTTTCCGCCTCACCATTATGTGCAAAAGGTACAGGCACGGCATGGGGGGTCGGAGTTGACTCTCCAAAATGCTGCAGAGAGAGGTAGCATTTTTGCTGAGACGAGTTTGCCCCACTTTCTGTATAAACGGGACAAGGTGGAATGGGGGGGGGGGGGGTTAGGGGTGTGTGTGAGAGAGAAAGAGCTAGATAGTGAATGAGGAGAGAGAGCACCACCAGTGAGGACAAAGTGACTCAGAGAGTTAAATTGTTAATTTGTGACTGTTTCACTGTGATTACATTCTAAAGCAGGAATTAATTACAGTGGAACCTCGGATTGTGAGTATAATTTATTCCAGCAACGTGCTCGTAATCCAAAGTACTCGTATATCAAAGCGAATTTCCCCATAAGAAATAATGGAAACACAAAATGATTTGTTCCACAAACACGTATTCATATAAACATGATAACAGTAATACAACCTACACTTTACCTCTGAAAAGAATCATGGGTGGTGTGAGGGAGACAAGAGAGAGCTACAGTGCCTTGCAAAAGTATTCATATGCCTTGAATTTTTCCACATTGTCGCATTACAACCACAAACTTAAATGTATTTTATTGGGATTTTATGTGATAGACCAACACAAAGCATTGCATAATTGTGAAGTGGAAGGAAAATTATACGTGCTGTTCCAAGATTTTTTACAAATACAAATTTGAAAGTGTGGCCTGCATATGTATTCAGCCCCCTTGAATCAATACTTAAAAATTAAAAAAAATTAAAAAAAAATACTCGAAGCAATTACAGCTGCAAGTCTTTTGGGGTATGTCTCTACCAGCTTTGCACATCTAGAGACTGCAATCTTTGCCCATTCTTCTTTGCAAAGTAGCTCCAGTTCAGTCAGATTGGATGGAGAGCGCCTGTGAACAGCAGATTCAAGCCTTGCCACAGATTCTCAATAGGATTTAGGTTTGGACTTTGACTGGGCCATTCTAACACATGAACATACTTTGATCTAAACCATTCCATTGTAGCTCTTAGCTGTATGTTTAGGGTCGTTGTCCTGCTGGAAGGTGAACCTCCGCCCCAATCTAAGTCTTTTGCAGCTTCTAACAAGTTTTCTTCCAGGATGCTACCACCGCCATGTTTCACGGTGGGGATGGTGTGTTCAGGTTGATGTGCAGTGTTAGGTTTCCGCCACACACACACAGCATTTTGCATGTAGACCAAAAAGTTCAATTTTGGTCTCATCCGACCAGGGCACCTTCTTCCACATGTTTGCTGTGTCCCTTACATGGCTTGTGGCAAACTGCAAACAGGACTTCTTATTGCTTTCTTTCAATAATAGTTTTCTTCTTGCCACTCTTCCATAAAAACCAGATTTGTGGAGTACATGACTAATAGTTGTCCTGTGGACGTATTGTCCCACCTGAGCTGTGGATCTCTGCAGCTCCTCCAGAGTTACCATGGGCCTCTTGGTTGCTTCTCTGATTAATGCTCTCCTTGCCCGGCCCGTCAGTTTAGGTGGCCGGCCATGTCTTGGTAGGTTTGCAGTTGTGCCATACACTTTCCATTTTCGGATGATAGATTAAACAGTGCTCCATGAGATGTTCAAAGCTTGTGATATGTTTTTATAAGCTAATCCTGCTTTAAACTTCTCCACAACTTTATCCCTGATCTGTCTGGTGTGTTCCTTAGTCTTCATTATGCTGTTTGCTCACTAATGTTCTCTAACAAACCTCTGAGGCCTTCACAGTACAGCTGTATTTATACTGAGACTGAATTACACACAGGTGGACTCTACTAATTAGGTGACTTCTGAAGGCAGTTGGTTGCACTGGATTTTATTTAGGGATATGAGAGTAAAGGGGGCTGAATACATATGCACGCCACACTTTTCAGATTTTTATTTGTAAACACCACATATCATTTTCCTTCCACTTCACAATAATGCGATACTTTGTGTTGGTCTATCACATAAAATCCCAATAAAATACATTTAAGTTTGTGGTTGTAAAAAAGTCATTTTATACAAAATTTTTGCTCGTCTTGCAAAAAACTCGCAGACCAAGGTACTTGCAATCCAAGGTTTTACTGTAATTGATCGATCTGAATGGCCCAACATGTGGTCAGCCATCACCTCTGCTGCATGAGAAATTTAACATTTGCTATGTGGCAGTAGAACCGTTGTTCATTTCATGATAGTGACATTTTATCTATCACGTGGTGCACATGCACATTATGCAAAGTGAGAAACACCATCAGGACAACATGATTGAAGATGCAACTAGTTTCACTGCCAGTACTCTCGGCAGTGAAAGTAGTTGTATTTGGTGATAATTTAAATTACTTGTAAATATGAGGTTCAATAGTGAAGTGTCTGGGATTGAAGACTGGAGTCTATAAATGCTGACAATTTCAGTTTCACAACCAGCGGGTCAAGTGTGGGTTGGCCACTTATTGAGTAGGTTTGCAACATTACATGCATCTGCTGTATGACTGCAGAATAAGTCAAATTGTTGCATGGTATCTCCCTGCCCACTGGTAGTAGCTGGCCCCACTCAGTTCTGCAAGATGAAATATTTGTTTTATCAGGTATAGCATTTAAAAAAAACTGTTGTGTGGGTTTGAGTGTGTGGGCAGTAACAATGTAGCAACTTGAAAACTGTAGAAAAGCCTGTCAAAATGCAGGACTAAATAGTTTGGGGCTTTTTATAACATTTTTTTGAAACTTAATATTAAGATGAGAGTTTATAATATCTAGAAATACCCTATCTACCACCATGCACACTGTATGCATAAGCTCACCAACCTGAAAGCAGGGAGACTGGCCAGAGGTCTCCTGCAATGTGGAGTCCCAGCCTGCTCCCTTTGGGTCTCTGGGCTGGGAGATCGTCCAGTAGAAGACCCTCCCTCCAGTGACTGGGCCCCTTTCTCTCGAACCTTGGTTTTCAGTTCTGCCACCAATTGGTCAAAGTTCTTGCTTCTGCCCACCACTTTCCTCCGTTGGTGGATGGAGTGGATCTGAGAGGCAGGACAGAAGTTACATGCAGATAAGTTAGATTTATAGTGGATGCAAGGTGTCCTGCCATAGGCACCTACTCCATAGGTCTTGATTTATCCTTTTATTGATTTTATAAATCAATCACGGTCAATATAATTTGGCTGTTTTTGACCAAAAAAAAAAAGTCAAGGTGAAAACAGGTTTCTACAAAGTAATGTCATTTAAATAAAAATATGTAATGGGAAATAAGTGATTGCCTTAATATTCACCCCCTTCAAGTCAGTATTTAGTAGATGCACCTTTGGCTGTAATCACAGCACTGAGTTTTTGTGGAGAGGTCTCAATCAGGCTTGCACATCTGGACACTGCCATTTTACTCCATTCTTCTTTGCAAAACTGCTCAAACTCTGCCAGGTTGTGCGAAAATCTGGCATGAACTGCCCTTTTCAAGTCCAGCCACGAATCCTCTATTGGATTGAGGTCAGCCACTCCACAACACTCACCTTGTTGTCTTTAAAACATTTCTGTGTAGCTTTCAGGTCTTTGTCTTGCTGGAGAATGAATCTTCTCCCAAGCCGTAGGTCTGTTGCAAACTGAATAAGACTGATGGTAATAAGCATGATGCTGCCACCACTGTGCTTCATAGTGGGGATGGTGTGTTTGTGGTGATGTGCAGTGTTTGGTGTCTGCCAAACATAGTGTCTTGTCTGATGGCCAAGAAGCACCATTTTGGCCTCATCAGACCAAAGAACTTTCTTCCACTTGACCATAAAGTCTCCACATGCCTTTTGGCAAACTCTAGTCAAGATTTAATATGAGTTTTCTTCAACAGTGGCGTTCTCTTTGCCACTCTCCCATAAAGCTTGGACTGGTGAAGAACCCAGGCAACAGTTGTTGTATGCAGAGTCTCTCCTATCTCAACTGCTGAAGCTTGTAACTCCTTCAGAGTAGTCATAGGTGTCTTGGTGGCCTCGCTCACTAGTCTCCTTGTATGGTCACTCAGTTTATGAAAACGGCCTGATCTAGGCAGATTTAGACATGTGCCATATTCCTTCTATTTCTTAGTAATGGATTTAACTGAACTCCGGGTGCCTTGGAATTTTTTTGTATCCATCCCCTGACTTATACTTTTCAATAATCTTTTTTCTTAGTTGCTTGGAGTGTTCTTCATGGTGTAATGATAGCCAGGAATACTGATTAACCAGTGACTGGACCTTCCAGATACACGTCTTTATACTACAATCACTTGAGACACATTCACTGCACTCCGGTGATCCCCATTTCACTAATTGTGAGACTACTAGCACCAGTTGGCTGGACCTCTGTTGAATTAGGTCAGTCATTTTAAAAAGGGTGAATATTTATGCAGTCATTTATTTAACATTAAATATTTTATTTAATTGACATTACTTTGTAAAAACCTGTTTTCACTTTAACATTAGAGGTTTTTTTTGTTGTCAAAAAAGCCAAAATTATATGACTACTGATTTATAAAACCAATAAAAGGGTAAAACATCCAAGTGGGTAAATACTTTTTATAGGCACTGTAGTTGAGTCAGATTTCACCCGTTAGTACCACTGTCACTGTTTCCATTCTTTCATTTTTATGTGAAAGCAATGGGGAGACACGCACAAGCACTGGGTTTATCACCTTCTAACTTATAATGTGATTTGGTGTGGTATCTTCATTGACAGCAAAGGGCTGCTGCATTGTTACATTTTGAGGAAGCACATGTCAGTTACACCGTACCCTACAGTGTAACTTGGGAACATGGCTGCCAATGGTACAGCATAGCCACTTCAAAAAGAAGTATAAATCCAGTTTTAGTCACCCTTAAATTTTGACTGAGTATTTTAAATGAACAGCTAAAACATGGACCTGGTGAGTGTCACAAAATTCTCGATCTCACCAAAGCCTTGATGATTAGTATAAATCTGCTTCAACCTGATGATTACTGCTGCCACTCTAAATTCTTTGTTTTGAATGGGCTACAGCAACATATTAATTGCCCTACCTCAGGACAAAGCAGCATATTGCTGCCAACTAGTATCATAATTGCCATTTATTGGCATAGACCAGATATTTGACCTTTGCAGCTGATGTTGTTCCAAAACTGTCTGTCTTCATTGACCAGTTTTTTCTGCTGGTGAAGAGATGTTTAACTGGAATACGGTGAGCTGTGATAGCAATTTGAAATAGCTTACAATTTAATCCAAAAGCTGCGTCAAATAGCCATGTGCATTCACACAAACCACCTCTCTCCTTGCTGCTGCCACCATATTTACAATATTCTCACTGGAAGCACCTTAAAGTTGCAAAGCAAAATGCTGAGATTACAATTAGAGATGACTACATTTAGGTAAAAATCCAGCATCATTAAGGATATGACTAATTGTAGTGGGATCCATAAAAATAGATGAGAATAACCCGATCCTAAATAGAGTGCAAACCACTGATAGATAGATGGTTCAATTCCATTGTTTCCTCCAGACAGCAGTGGGATGGTTGAGGTTATTCAGTGGTCATCAGTCTAGTTGTTTTTATGTACATTTTCAATTTGTGTTTAAAAACAAAACCAAACCAAACCAGACAGCACTCAGACAGCACAAATTTCTGTCAAGGGAGCTCACTGTCCTCAGAATGTCATTACACCTGAAAGCAAAGTTCCAATGATAGTCTGGATAATAATTGGGAGCTGTGACCCGCAAACTGGGAGAGTAGCTCCAACAGATCCAGGAACAATATCTGAGATCTCTGTCCAGAAGAGTGCAGTCCTAGGAACAGCTAAGATACTGCGCAGGACCCTCAAGCTCCCAGGCCTCTCTTGTAGAAGACCCGAGCTTGAAGGACCGCTCCAAAGTGGGGCGAGTGGGGAATATATACAGTCAAGCCTGAAATTACTCATACCCCTGGCAAATTCTGACTTAAAGTTACTTTTATTCAACCAGCAAATTTTTTGACAGGAAATGACACAGGCTTCTCCCAAAGGATAATAATATGATGTACAAGAGGAATAAAATATTTCTCAGCCTTTATTTACATTTGAACAAAAAGTGGAATGCCCAAAATTATTCATACCCTTCTCAATAATCAATAGAAAAGCCTTTATTGGCTATTACAGCAATCAAACGCTTCCTATAATTGCTGACCAGCTTTTTGCGTGTCTCCACTGGTATTTTTGCCTATTCATCTTTAACGATGAGCTCCAACTCTTTCAGGTTGGAGGGTCTCCTTGCCATCACCCTCAGCTTTAGCTCCCTCCACAGATTCTCAATTGGATTCAAGTCAGGACTCTGGCTGGGCCGCTGCAAAACGTTAATGTTTTTGTCTGCTAACCATTTCTTCACCACTTTTGCTGTCTGTTTTGGGTCGTTGTCGTGCTGTAATGTCCACAGGTGCCCAAGGCCAAGTTTCTCTGCAGACTGCTTGATGTTGAGAATTTTGATGTATTGCTCCTTTTTCACGGTGCCGTTTAGTGTGATTAGGTTCCCTGGTCCACTGGCTGAAAAACACCCCCAAAACATTAGGTTCCCACCACCATGTTTGACAGTAGGGATGGTGTTCCTAGGGTTGAAGGCTTCTCCTTTTTTACACCAAATGAAGGCTACATCATTGTTGCCAAACAATTCAACTTTTGTTTCATCTGACCATAAAACAGAAGACCAGAAGTCTTCTTCTTTGTCCAGATGAGCATTTGCAAAGGCCAAGTGGCCTTTTATGTGCCTTATCTGGAGAAGTGGTGTCCTCCTTGGTTTGCATCAGCAAAAGACGTGAGCTACTGAGCATGTGCAATGTCTTGTGCAGTGTCCGTTGGACTGTCTGCCTTGAGATGTTGCCACCAGCAGAGCCCAGATTCATCAGGATGGCCTTGGTGGTGATCCTTGGATTCTTTTTTACCTCTCTCACTATCCTCCTGGCCAGCACAGGTGTCACTTTTGGCTCCTGACCACATCCTCTGAGATTTTTCACAGTGCAGAACGTCCTGTATTTTGTAATAATACTTTGCACTGTAGCCACTGGAACTTCAAAACATTTAGATATGGTCTTATAGCCCTTTCCTGACTTATGAGCAGCCACAGGTCCTCAGCGAGCTCCTTTGTCTTAGCCATGACTGTCCACAAACCAACAGCAGAGAGCTTCTGTTTTTCACCTGTTGAGTTGATTAAAACAGCTGTTCCCAATGAATCAGTGTAATTAGGATGCTTTAGAACAGCTTGGACTATTTGGAATGTATAGAACTTTGGATTTTCCCATAGACTGTGAAAGTTTGCAAAGGGTATGAATAATTTTGGACATGCCACTTTTTGTTCAAATGTAAATAAAAGCTGAGAAATATTTTTTTCCACAATGATGCCTCTTGTACATCGTATTATTATCTTTTGGGAGACGCCTGTGTCATTTCCTGTTAAAAAAAAACTTGCTGGTTGAATAAAAGTAACTTTAAGTCAGAATTTGCCAGGGGTATGAATAATTTCAGACTTGACTGTATATATTGTACAGTCAGGGGAAAAAAATTATTTGAACCCCAGCTGATTTTTTTAAGTTTGCACACTAACAAAGAAAGGATCAGTCTACAATTTCAATGGTAGGTTTATGTGAACAGTGAGAGACACAATAACAAAAAATCCAAAAAAATGCATTACAAAAAAAGTTATAAAGTAATTTGCATTTTCATGAATGAAATAAGTATTTGATCCCTTTGCAAAACGTGCTTTAGTACTTGGTGGCAAAACCTTTGTTGGCAATCACAGAGGTCAGACGTTTCTTGTAGTTGGCCACAAGGTTTGCACACATCTCAGGGGGGATTTTGACCCACTCCTCTTTGCAGATCCTCCCCACTACTGCTATGGACTGCAAGCGCCTGCAGAGAGTGGTAAAGACTGCGGAGAAGATCACCAGGACTCCACTTCCCTCTCTGCAGAGCATTTACCACCGCAGGGTGCGTAGGAAAGCTGCCTCCATCCTCAAAGATCCAACCCACCGCAGCACGGACTATTCGACTCCCAACCCTCTCACCGG